TATTAGGTTTCATGTTATCCCAAAGTTCCCTTAAACTATGTTCCTGCTTTTAATTTTTTTTTCTTTGCTGATCTAATTGGGTGTTTTTTCTACCTTGTCCTCAAAGTCAGCTTCATTTAATATACCAGTACTTCTAATTCCTTCCAATGTATTCTTGATATCAGATATGGTATTCTTCATTTCTGAATGGTTATTGTTCATGGTTTCTATTTCCTTTTTTCATGCCATTGTAGTTCCCACGAGGTTCCTTGTAATTCTCACTAAGTTCCTTGAGCATCCTTATAACCATTACTTTGAACTATCTATACTAATAAAAGCCTAAGTGGCCCTTGTGCGACACCCTCACGTCATCACAAGATGGCCGCCCCCACATCATCACAAGATGGTCACCACAAGATAGTCGCCACAAGATGGCCAGGAGTGGAGGGTAGTTGTGGGCGATCAGAGCGGTAGGGGATGGCAGTTGGGGGCGACCAGGCCGGTAGGGGAGGGCAGTTGGGGGGGGGACCAGGCCTGCAGGGGAGGGCAGTTGGGGGCAACCGGGCCTGCAGGGGAGGGAAGGTGGGGGCGACCGGGCCTGCAGGGGAGGGAAGTTGGGGGTGACCAGGCTGGCAGAGGAGGGCAGTTGGGGGCGATCGGGCCGGCAGGGGAGAGCAGTTGAGGGCGATTGGGCCGGCAGGGGAGTGGTTAGGCATCTATCAGGCCGGCAGGGGAGCAGTTAGGGAGCAATCACGCTGGCAGGCAGAAGCAGTTAGGGGCAATCAGGCAGGCGAGCGGTTAGGAGCCAGCAGTCCTGGGTTGTGAGAGGGATGTCCGACTGCCGGTTTAGGCCCGATCCCACAGTCGGACATCCCCCAAGGGGTCCCAGATTGGAGAGGGTGCAGGCCAGGCTGAGGGACATTATCCCCCCGCCGTGCATGAATTTCATGCACCAGGCCTCTAGTATATCTGATAAATTGCTTGCCTCCACTTCATTTAGCTCTTTTTCTAGAGATTCCTCCTTTTCTTTCATTTGGAGGCTGTTTCTTGGTCTCCCCATTTTAGCTGTCTCTTTGTGTTTGTTTCCATGTATTAGGTAGAATTGCTATGCCTCCATATCTTCATATGGTGACCTTATGTAGTTAAGTGTCCTGTGGGACTCAGTGGCACAATATCTTTTATCTTCTGAGCTGAATGCTCTAAGAATGTCCCTTGTGTGGATTGTAATTGGGTCTTGATTGCTGTTGGCCTGTTCATGTGTGTGGGATCAGCTCATGGGCTGGCTGACTGTGAGGCTCAACTCCAAGTACCAGTATGTCGTGCAAGTTATTGTACAGGTGCAATCTCAATGTGGCTTCTGCAGTCCTTGGTTAAGTTTCCTCTTCAGATAGTCTCCAGTTAGTATTTCAGGGTGACTGTTCCCCAATTTAGCTGTAATTTCCAGTTTGGTTCTGGGAGGCATTGTGAGCAAGATCCACCTACTCTGCCACCATCCTGAACCAGCCCAAATATATATTTCTTATCTGAAGAGGGACCTACAGCTTTCCTCCTCAATTTCACAAAAGGTCAGCCTCCCCGTCCACTACTCTCTGACTGCCACCTTTCAATCCACTCATTTCCCCTTTGAATATTTTTTAAAAGGAAGAAACTGCACCACCCACACACACACTCCTCTGGTTCCTCTCTGCTCTGTTCAGTAAGGCCTCATCTCCCCTCACAAAGTGAAAGTTACAAACCATTAAGAAAATCTATAATGAAAGTGCTGACAGAATCTTAATTAACTATGGCATCACAAACACAACAATAGCGTTAAACTCTCAAGGCAGAGACACTGACTTGAGTTTCACAGTCATATTGATAAATAAAAGTAAGGTCCACACAGAGAAGAGACTGAAAACAGGGGGTGGGGCAGCCCTGGAGCCCCAGAAACATGCTACCCCACCTCTGAGCTGGCCCTGGCACAGCAGGATCAACTGGGCAGTGGCCACCCTCCTAGCACGTGGACAGTGCTGCCCTCCTAGCATCCATCTGGCAGCAGCACTGGCCTAGTCAGAAGTGGCATGTCATTTTTCTGTCTCTCTTTAAAACAGTTGCCTGTTCTTCCTAGATAACTTTAATTGGCCTGCAGCTTGGTCCAGCATCTGGGGAGCGAGGCTGCTCTGCAGCTAGTCCCGGGAGAATGGAAACAGGTCGATAAGGTCCTGGAGCTCCTGTCAACGCTCCACAGAGTCCCACTGCAGGAGCCATTAGCGCCTCTGATCTCAACCTCCAATTAGAGCGTCATTAGGCTCAGCAGCGCTTGGCCATGAATTATTCATCCTCCTTCAGATAACCGCATGGGACACAGGGAATGAATGATTAGATCCGACCCAGAGCTTAACACAGGGAAACATCCACTCCACGAAGTGTGTCCCTCCTTTGAGGCTGACCATGCCCTTCCATGCCCCCAACAGGTTTTGAGAACCTTTAAATAAATCCTGGTGGTCATTCAAGCAACTGTAGGAGCACTATTAAGAGGCTGTGCAGGAGCAGAAAGAAAGGAACCTCCAGAAACAAACCCCCACTGGGAGGCATGGGAAAGCCAGGAGAAGTAGCATGGCTATGTTCCAAGTGTGAAAGGGACACAGGCTGGGGCTCCAACACAAGTTCATAGCCTCCAGCTGTAATGTGCCCCAGCCCAGGAGACACAGTGCACAGAAAAGACTGAAAAGGGCTTCAAAAAAACTTTTCAATCTGGTTTCTCCAGAAATGAGGCTCAGAGATGATATTTTAGGGATTTTCATATAGCACTCTTGAATTTAAGGTTGAAGATTACTTTTTTTCCAAACTAAGGAACCGGCACTACACTTGACTGTTAGAGGTTTGCTTTACAGACGAGAAAACAATCACAGATATTTGATTCTAGTGTAGAGAAGAGAGACTACAGCCAGTCCACATTCTGATGTTCCACACACTGTCTTTGAGGCATGTAAGAGCTGTAGCCATAATTTAAGATTCAGAGATTTCTGGCTAATAAACCTTGGGTTTCAAAGTCTTTGGGTTCTATCTTCTCAGAGGGAACTGAAGGCCAAGTCAGTGGGGGACCCCCTTGGTTCAGGGGGTCCAGGGCAGCTGCTTTCCTGGTCCCTCTACTGTCTGAAGGTGAGCCCTGAGCTGGGCCTCTGGGCCTCCGACCTGCACTTTAACACCAGATTGCAGACAGTGTCCACATCTCCTTCCTGCAGGTGGTCCCCACATTGCCATTTGCTTGCTCTCTCCTGTCCTGGTTCCCGGTCTTGGCTTCTCAGCCTTGTGTTTGCTCCTATAATTAAAGCCCAGAAAGTCTCCTGTCCATTTCTTTGCCCCATCTCTCTTTCTTTAAACTGGGCTGTCTGCTGTGCTGCTGTGCTCCAGTAAATGGGTGTTCCTGTGTAATGGCGGGAATGTCTGTTTGGTCAGGTACCCACTCTGTGGCTTTGGGCAGATTACATGATTTCTTAAAGCCTCAGACTCCTCATCTGTCAGTGGGAAAGGTGGTCCCTATATCAGGGGCTATTCTGGGGAAAGTCTGGCAATTTCTTATAAGTGAGAGCACAGACCTACCTCCTGACTCAACAATCCCACTCCAAGTTGAGAAATAAAGACATATGCTCACACAGAAACTTGCACACCCACATTTACAACAGCTTTGCTGGTAACTGTCCACAACTAGATATAACCCAATGTCCTTCAGCTGGTGAACAGGTTAATTAACAGTGACCTCTCCACACCAAATACCATGTGGCAATGGAAAGGACATGTGATGACATGGACAAGTTACATATGCATCCTGCTAAGTGAGAAAAGCCAGACTCAAAAAGTTCATATCCTGTAGGAATTCATTTATATGACATTCTAGAAAGAGTGCAATTACAGGTGGAGAAAGCAGGTAAGACCTCCGTGAAACAGGGCTGGAGGAGAAACTGGCCACACAAAGGGAAAGGTTTAGGGGCAATTCAGCCTAAAACGCTGCAGTGAGTCAACCGGCTCCGTTGCAAACAGGGCACT